AGCAGACGGAGGATTGACAGAAGCTCGACATCTGAAGGAGAAACAAGACTGAGATTAATAACAAAACATTTGGTCTAAAACACGTGCATTATTTTACTCCGCTGGAGATTCAGTTGGTCACAGTGTCACCATCTTGGTGTCTGATGGGTAAACGGCATGTTTGTATAAATCATCACTTCTCCAGCTGCAGAAATGACTCGACTAGAAAACATTTGAGAAGCTCTGCATCATTTATGAACTCACCTCATGATCAGGCGTTGTTTTCATGTCGAAGACAACTGCTGAAGCTGCTGAAGAGAAACAAGACTTCTATTAATAAACAAAGTCACTCTCTCCAGTCCTACATGAGTTCATGAAGCTGGAGATTCAGTTAGTCACAGTATCACCATCTTGGTGTCTGATGGGTAAACGGCATGTTTGTAAGAAATCATCACTTCTCCAGCTGCTATAGCTCAACTTAAGAATAAGTACATTTGACTTGCATACATTTTAATAACCAGGGTTGGAAATGCTTCGACTAAGAAGTTCAGTTCAAATTAAACAAACTATTGCAGAAGCTCCAGATGATTTGTGAACTCACCTCCTGATCAGCAGACGGAGGATTGACAGAAGCTCGACATCTGAAGGAGAAACAAGACTGAGATTAATAACAAAACAAAGCTCAACAGTCCTACATGAGTTCATGAAGCTGGAGATTCAGTTGGTCACAGTGTCACCATCTTGGTGTCTGATGGGTAAACGGCATGTTTGTAGAAATCATCACTTCTCCAGCTGCTAGTTGCCTTCACTCTTCTAGAATTTTTTTTTTGAATTTCCTGCATTATTGATAAACTCACCTCCTGATCAGGTGCTTTTCTCAGGACCGCAGCACGACTTCTGCAGCATCTGAGGGCGAAAGCAGACCGAGATTAATAACCATAAACTAGATTTAATGTCCTGATTTCTCTTTGCATGCTGGAGATTCAGTTGGTCACAGTGTCACCATCTTCTTGTCTGATGGGTAAACGGCATGTTCGGTAGAAATCATCACTTCTCCAGCTGCAGCACAATTAAAGTGTCAAATACTTCAGACTCACCTTCATCAATCACAGCCACAAATCTGCATGTGCACACCTGAAGAGAAAAGACAGATTTAGAGTTAATACACGTGTCGTTTGCAATCTTTCCTAGTGATTAAGCAGGCGGATTCATGCCTGTGACGTAGATGGGAACATGACAGATGGAAAAGGCAATAGATCTGTCATTCAGAAATATAGAATATGGATCGAGCCGGTCCGAAATGTGTCACAGTAACTTTCCAGAGCTCCTTAATAATGACTCAGGAGTGACTTATTGATTTGCGGCCGGCATGAATAATCTGTAGTTTAGAAGCAGCCGATATGATGATGGATCACTGGAGGGGTCAGAGGTCACAGTGAAACACAGCCTGGCAGCATGCAGGTTCAACAGCAGGTCACGACCTCTAACATGACCTCTGATTCACTGAGGACGTCTATCTTTAAATCCGTCTGAGGGATGATTTATGGTTTCTGCAGGGACCACAGATACCTGTCCAGAGAGAGTCTATAATAAGATGGAACTTCAAATACAAAACAGATCATTCATAAAGTAAGATTTAGGATATTTTCAATGTAATATTCCATTCCTTACATACTTTTATAAGATAATACTTTATTGATCCCAAAGCAGCATCAAAAGACATGGCATTGTACAACAACAATTAAAAGATTAGAAATAAACAAGAAAGCAGAAAATATACATGTTGAATTTAACAACAAGATATAAAGCAAGGTATTATATTTACAGAAGTATGAGAGAGATGGAATAACTTGCTTTATATTTGTTACAGTACATTTCTAATTCAACATGTATATTTTCTGCTTTTTTTTGTTGATGCAATTATTTTCTATTTGAGATGTTTACTGTCTGCCATGACCTCTGACTGTGGTCCAGATTCACTGAGGACGTCTCTATCTTTAAATCTGTCTGAGGGATGATTTATGGGTTTCTGCAGGGACCAAAGAGAATAGGGAGGGATGGAACCCTCTAATGGTCTCACATGCAGCACACAGTGACATGTGTTCTCTGCTTTTAACCCATCCTAGTGCCAGGAGTCTAGTACTAGGAGCAGTTGGCAGCTATTGCACAGTGCCCGTGGAGCAATGGGAGTGAGGGGGTGTCCGGTGCCTTGCTCAAGGGCACCGCGGCAGGGCAGGAGGTGAACTGGGACCTCTCCAAGTAGCAGTCCACACTCCATATCTGTTTGGGGACTTGAACTGGCAACCCTGCGGCTCAGTCCACTGACTGAGCCACTGCCCAACATCTACCCGTCTGTCGTTTCAAATATAAAATACGTCCTCCACAAAGTAAGATTTAGGATATTTTCTTCACATTAACCCTGATGACAAACATTCAAATGTACCACGTCAAAAATGTAATTATCCCTTTCAATGGAGTTCAATTAAAAATAAAAAAGTAGTTTATTGACATGCAAGGTAATTAAAAAGGCTATAAAACTTATTTACATATTGTATTTGATTGAAATTACTATTAAGATTGAAGGTAATGTGACTGGTCTGTTCACAATGTTTAAAAAAGGTGCATTATTAACATTGTGCTGGACAGTAACTAAGTGCATTTAAAAAAGGTAGTTGTAGCTTAATTAATTTCCATGTATTAAACATGTCAGAATATGGTACTTTACTGCCTTTAGCTACCATACAGATTAATATAAAATCACATGTTAATCCCCAGGGGAATACATCACAAGACACCTGACAGTGGGCTCTTTAAAGTTAATAAATAGCCTCGCTTTTAACAGCCTTACATTTTAAACCCTATAATATATACATTATTCTGAAAGGTGTCACTCTGCCTGATGACATTGCATTTAATAGTTAAAGTATATTATGATAACCTCTGGTTTAGCATCTTTTGAATGCAGGAATATAACAATATGTATACTCTGCTTTGTGCATTAACACTGATCCCTCACGTGTTACGGTGCTCTGCTGCAGAAACACATTCAATAATAACCTCGCAAAGTTAAACACAAGCTATCGTATCGGATGATATCAAAATGCAAGTTATTTAGCAGCTTTACCCCCTAGTTCTGAAGCCTCCTGTTGAACTAAATCACCCACGTGGCTGAGCTAGCTGTGAGCTAACGAGCTAACGAGCTAACATGCATCTCAAACCACGTGATTATAAATACCCCGACATGTAAACATCACCTCAGTGAAAACATGAAGTCCTCTCTCTGCTCCTACCTTCATCCTGCAGAGAAACATGATGAAGTTTCTCAGTTTCTCTGTGAGGAAGAAGAGCTGCGTTCTGCTCGTGGCTGTTCATTCAGGAAAGAGAACTACATCCGGGTCCTTACGCCTTAAATGCGCCTCGCACATGCGCACTGGGTATCAGGGAAAGAAAGTACTTTTACTAACAATAAAATAACTTTCTAACAACTATAAATGAACAAGCATCAAAATATACTTAAATAACAGAGTTAAAGTACTCTTTATGCACACAAATATATATATTAAAATGTTGTATTTTAGTTATTGAGGCTTTAATGTTGCAGCAGGTGAAGTTCATTTAGAGTTTAACCTTAATTAACTGCAATCAACCTTATTGACTTATTTATGATTATATTCTGTATTCATAATCCTAATAAAGGTATTAAAGTAGTAAGATAAATGTATACTGAGGGGAAAGTAATGAGATGTAATGCAGAAGTATAAAGTAAATAATGAAATACTCAAGTGAGGAATATATATTAATACCGTCAGTAGCTTCATCATTTAGTTTACTCTCATATTAAAGGTAGAACAATTCATTTAAACACCACTTTTGTGAGGAAACATTTTAACCAGTATAGCACTTCAGGATCCAATGTTATCATGTTACAGTTTTAATCTACCATTTATTAATATTATTATTTATATATTATCACACACATGTTATTTCTGCAGTATAAGCACATCATCATCCTTTCCTTTAGTTGACAAACTGAACAAAAGAGCTCAAATGTCCTAATGACAGTTCAATCAGGAGAGACGGTTTTGATGTAAGAATACATATTTATTGCCAGGAATACACAAATGAATGTAATGGAGTTTTGGCGATTAGGCCCCGTTGTGCAGGAGTATCATTCGGGAGGGGAAAGCCGATCCGATGAAACCCCCCGGGGTCTAGACCCTGGTGGTGGTGAATGGGTGGTTGGGGTCGGTCTGAAGGGGAGGGGCTTAGCTTGACCCTGGTGGTGGTGAATGGATGGTTGGGGTCGGTCTGAAGGGGAGGGGCTTAGCTTGACCCTGGTGGTGGTGAATGGATGGTTGGGGTCGGTCTGAAGGGGAGGGGCTTAGCTTGACCCTGGTGGTGGTGAATGGATGGTTGGGGTCGGTCTGAAGGGGAGGGGCTTAGCTTGACCCTGGTGGTGGTGAATGGGTAGTTGGGTTCGGTCTGAAGGGGAGTGGCTTAGCTTGACCCTGGTGATGGTGAATGGATAGTTGGGGTCGGTCTGAAGGGGAGTGGCTTAGCTTGACCCTGGTGGTGGTGAATGGATAGTTGGGGTCGGTCTGAAGGGGAGGGGCTTAGCTTGACCCTGGTGGT